TCTGTTATAATTCTTTAGTATATTACTTGTGTGGTGTAGAAGAGAATTATTTATGTAGATTTACTGCTTGCAAACCAATGATGGTAAGATGATGTCATGGGGTAGGACTGGATAAGTCTGACTTCTTCCTACTCCATTCATGCATGTACTAGGTATAAGCAAATTGATATTGAATTAGCATTTGTTGGATATGTGTATAATTATGTGTGTTGTCATATCAACTGTCTTTACATGCTTGAAAGAATAAATCAAATCTCCCAGGACCTCACAGTCTGTTAACACCACCTCTCTAGTAAAGAAGGCACAGCAGCATCTCTTATTTTCCAAGGACACTTCTCTGAACAAACCTGCCCTAGCAGCTGCTGCTGTCCTTCTACCACTGCTCTGCAGAGAGTGTTCTGTCCCATGGCATCCCGGTGTGGTTTGCTAATTGCTCAGTAGCTGACAGGAAATCACTTCAGAGAGTCATTAAATCAGCACAGCACATTGGCAAACAACTTCCCTCACTAGAATTCATATGCAAAACACGGTACCTACGTAGGGCTACAAACATAATCAAGGACTCATCACACCCAGGCAATCTTTTTTCACTATTGCCCCTTGGGAGGCGATATAGGTCTATAAAGGCTCATAGCTCCAGAATGATGGCAGGCAAAGTACTGAACTCTGTACTGACTCCTGTGCTTTGAGGTGCAATACTTTTTATGTTTTTAATATAATGTTTAGTCTGATGTTTATTTGTTGTCACTGGGAGAGATGCACTGAATTTTCTTGCAAAGCTGTGCAATGACAATAAAGGTATTCTGATTCTGCTTTTAGATTTTAAAATTTCCTTCAACCAGACCAACTGACTGAATATTATTTCCAGCTAACAAGCATGTTCAGATAAAGAACACTGACTGTTATTTTAGATGAGCTTACTTGACATTTCTTGCAGTTATACTTGTGGTGCTCAGGATCGTCTTCCTCTTCGTCATCGTCCGTTTCGTCACTGTTGCTTGATGAGATGCCAATCTTTTTGATGAAGCCTTCTCTCTCCTGCTCATCCATTAAGGCTATGTCCTGGAACAGAAACAACTCTCTGAAATGATTCAATTCAGTGACAGCTGAGATTCAGAGAGGGGGGTCAAAACATATGTAATGTCATGAAACATGTCTGACCCAAGGTGCTGTCTGACAAGTGTAGAGATGTTCATCAAACATGGTGCATTATGGGCACTTTAGTCATATCCATGGTGCCTTGAAATGAGTGCAACAGTTTGAAAACATTACCTCCCAGCACATAAATCACCCCCATCTGTGCAAAAGTTAGCTTTGTTGACTGGTAAAAATTCGGATGAACCTAAGGACGGTCTTACATTTGGTACTTTTACAGTTTTTGTAGCCTAGATATTATCGGAAACACATTTGGGGTGTGAGAGGCATATGGCTAGGTGCCCAAGTAGTCTGTCAGCATTTTAGGAGTGATACTGTTTTGGTATTGCTATTGTATTGCACTGTACACCTGTTCTCTTGTGGGACCTGAATAATAGCTGGACCTGCTCTACCAAGCAGGAAACAAGCCTGAATATAAACTGTGTTTTAGTGTTATAACCCCTCACTACCTCACCAAGCGTAATGACATATCCAACTCCACCATGTGAATTACTAAGTGCAATGTTTGAAGTTCACTGGGGAAAATACTATTACCCTATTTTTGTGTATTGTGGTTTTAATGCTTTGTTGCCTTTATGTAACTTTTTATTTTAAGACTAAGTGTTCTTTCTGGCTTTTGACTCCTTACCTGACTCCAAAGGAGAGCTGCACAAGAATTCCTATATGCCTAGACTGTGTGTTTATGCATAAATGGCAAATAAAAAAATCTTGACTTGACTTGCTATATATACAGTAAATGATATTGTTTTGTTAATATCAGCCTGCAATCAACTTAAATGTAACTGAAAGGACTCCCACATCTGAACCAAGAAATACTTTCCTGGCACTTAATTTTACAGAGAATTAGTAAAACCTCAGAGAAAATGCAGCCACAATCGTCTCTGCTTCCTGGTAAACCTGATGTATTATGTGTGGCAGTTCTAGCGTCACTACATCAAGTGTCACCTCAGCTAAACAGGTAGAGGAGTTGCTAAACAGGAAATACAAGTGTCTAGGGCAGAGTAACAGCTCTACGTCTGTTTTCTAGACATCCCCAGGGTGATCATGTAGAACTGACACGCATCTGTACGTTTTTCTCCTGAAAATCCTGGGTTTTTGATGAAACTGAATCTCTGTATTCTCATGTGACAGCAGAACAGACAGCCAGGTGCTGATGCTGAGGGGCTGGCAGATGAGACAGGATAGACATTAACATTATTTCAAATGGCGCTGATAAGCCAATAGCTGAGCTTGGTTTCAGCATCAGCGTGGAAGACTCTTCCCTCCTGACGGTCTCACCTTGAAGTGAACATGTATGTGATCTCGAAGGACGTCCACACGGAAGAACTTGCGACCGCATATTTCACAGGTGTACTTTTTATCACCATGGGTCAACAGATGCTTGTTCATGTTACTCCTGCAGGAGAACACCTGTGCGCACAAGCAGACATGCGTATACAGTACACACATCACTGATTAAATACAAACCTCATTTCTGGAAAACTTGGGACATTTTCCAAAATGCCATAAAAAATCAGTGACATTAATTAACTTGAACCTTTATTTAGCGGATAAAAGTACAAAGAAAAGGTTTTCAGTGGTTTCACTGACCAACTTAATAGCAATTTGTAAATATAGGCCTGTTTAGTTGTTGCAGTTTTCCAAGTGGATACAAGACTTTGGCTGCCCATCAGTCCATGGTCACCGATGTCTGATTCTCCTCTTCATGGCGCGCCATGCGTTTTCAATAGGAGACAGACCTGGACTGCAGACAGGCCAGTCATGCACACACACTATGTGTCTATGAAGCCACGCTATTATAACATGTGCAGGATAAGCACTGTCCTACTCAAATGTCCGAGGACTTTCCAGGACAAGATGTTGCCTTGATGGCAGAATAGAGTATGTCTCTCTAAAGCCCCAAATTATGCCTCCGTGTTGATTGTACCTTCACACATATGTGAGTCACCCATGCTGTGGGCACTGATGTACCCCCACACCATCACAGATGGCTGGTGCACCTTTCGCTGATAAGTCTGGATGGTCTTTTTTCATCTTTGGCACAAATGACCTGGCCATTTTTCCTGAAAACAAGCTGAAACGTGGACTCGTCTGACCACAGAACACGTCTCCACTGTCTTTTGGTCCATCTGAGATGAGCTTGGGTCCAGAGGACTTGGCGTGTTTCTGCACAGAATCGATGTATGGCTTCCTTGCATAACAGAGCATCAGCTTGTATTTCTGGATGCAGCGGCCGACTGTGTTAAGTGACAGCAGTTTTCCAAAGTCCTCCCAAGCCCATGTGACTATATTCATCACTATAACGTGGCGGTTTCTCATGCGATCCCTCCTCATTCAACAGTGGTTTTTGCCCTTGGCTTTTACGTACTGATTATTCTAAATTTGCTTATATTTAAGTTGGTCAGTGAAAACTTTTGTCAGTTAAAGGTTCAAGCATATTAACAAATCAGAGATTTTATTTTTCTCCTCTGGGACTGATGTCCAGTTGTTTGTCCTACTTTCTCACCTTGCCACAGATGGGACAGGGTGACGGCTCCTTCCTGTACTTGGTCCCTTCTTCTCCGTTTGTCTCCAGCTCCTCTCTCTTCATGTGCTTTGGTCCTGTCCAGATGCATTTATGGGTTTAGTTCAGCAAAGAAGAAAAAGAAAGCTCAGAAGCAGAATAAGAAATATGGTGACATGCAAGTACAGATGTACTGATGCAAGCTAGAACTCTTTACAGGTCTGTATCATATAAATTCATGGAAGATACTGGGACTTTACATTAATTACACTCTTGTTGTGAACATTCAGCTTCAATCTACAAAATATATAAACAAAACTAAATAAACTGTTTTACAACCCCAAATCAGAAAAAGTTGTGACAGTATGTAAAATCAAAATTAAATTAAAATAGTGATGCGTAAATCATCTGTGTCCCGTATCACATTGAAAACAACACAGCCGCACATGTTTTGATGTGACACCTCATCAGTTTTATTCTTTGTTCAAAATAAACAGTGACTTCAATTCTGATGCTGCAACACATTCCAGAAAAAGATTTGGGACAGTAAAGCATTTACCACAGTGTGACGTTTCTGTTCCTTTTCACAACACTAAAGGACGTTTAGGGACTGAGGACACCAAGTGATTCAATGTGTCAGGTGTCATTTTGTCCCATTCCTCCTGTAAACTAGTCTTCAGGTGCACAACAGTCCTGGGTCTTCGTTGACACAATTTGTGTTAAAAAATGTGCCACATATTCTTTACTGGGGACAGGTTGGGACTGCAGACAGACCAGTCCAGCACTCACACCCTTTTCCTCCACAGCCAGGCCTTGGTAATGTGGTGGGATGAGGTTTTGTGTTGTCTTGTTGAAATATGCATGGACGTCCCTGGAAAAGATGTCGTCTTGAAAGCCGCATATGTTGCTTCGACATCTCTGTGTATTGTTCAGCATCAATGGGGCCATCACAGAAGTGTAAGTGACCTTTGCCCTGGACATTGACACAACTCCAGACCATGACGGGCCCTGGTTTTTGGATTTGTTGCTGGTAACAGCCTGGACGGTCCTTTAGTCTTTGGTCTTTGCATATGGCGTCCAGCCCTTCCAAAAAAGACCTGAAATACTGATTGGTCTGACCACACTACATATTGTAGTGCCTGACACAGGTGAGCCAAAGTCATCCTGAGCCCATGTGGTTATATCCGTCATAGAAGAGTGACGATTCTTGATGCAGCACCATCTGAGGGATCAGAGAGCACGGTCATCCAGTTTAGGCTTGGCCCTTTATGCACTGAAATCCCTCCAGATTCCTTGAATCTTGTAATGATGTTCTGCACCGTAGAGGGTGACAGATCCAAGTCCCTTCCTGTCTTTCTTTGAGAAATATTGTTTTTAAACATTTTAGTACTTTTCTCACACATATGTTGGCAAACTGGTGGTCCTCCACTTCTGTACCAAATCATGATGCAGTCACCTGTTGACATCACCTGTTTCAAATGGAATCATCATTTCATTGTTTTACCTCAGTACTGGCCCTGAAATGCAACTGTCCCAACTTTTTTTAATTAGAATTAACAATTTGTTCAATTTATTTAGAGCAAAGAAAAAAATGATGAGGTGTCACATCAAATAATGTGCTGCTGTCTTGTTTTAAATATAATACAGGACACAGATGATTTACACATCACTATTTTCTGTTTTAATTTTGATTTTACATACTGTCCCAACTTCTTCTGATTTGAGGTTGTAATTCAACACATTCCAACTGGGCATCAAAAACTAGTGGTTAAAATGGCTGAAACAGGAACTCTGATAAATCAGTCTCACTCGGTTTCCCCGTTGCTTTATGGTGTATGAACAGTTCCTTCTTCAGCTCACTATATCCAGCAGGATACATACGTATGATAATACATCTGCAGCCTCAGATTTGTATAGTGCATGCCAGAGGACCATTATGCATAGCCATGCACTATGTTTACCTTCATTAAATCATGTGCAAATGCCACCAATGTGCTACAAAACAACCTCACGTGCCTCTACACACACCTGACTGGTTTATGCAGAAGACATCAGACTACCAGAGTTCATCAGTCCTGTGCATTACTGCTGCCTTTCCAAGTTATTTTCAGCAAAATTGGGTTAGATGTCTCTATTTACAAGTATTACAATGCTGATGCTGCTGTGTGGCATCAATTATGATATAATGTAACTGTTTAAAGCACGAGATATGGTACAATTATAACTCAAATTAATGACTAAGACTGATACAATCATATAACTCTTCACCACATTGTTTTTCATTGAAGCCATATTTTTCATTACAGCTCTTAGCTTGCGGGCTAAAATAAAGTCTGCCATTTAAAACTGAATGATGCCACTAAACATGATGTAATATTTCACACAAAGTGACACTTTTTCTGCTACACTACCCGTATTGAGAGCAATATAGAAGATAATGGGTAATTAGGTCTTTGTTGTTGCTCTTGTGCGACTCACCCTCCCCGTGTCTCCTGTGGTGCTCCTGCATCACATCTTTGCGATAGAACATCTTCTTGCAGATCTCACAGGAATAGAGCTTCTCTCCATGCTTCTTCTTGTGCTTGGACAGGTTGCTGTTGGTGGAGAAGAACCGCGAACAGATGTCGCACTGGAATGTCTTGTCATCTGAAGTGATGGAAATCAGACAGGATCACAACTGACATGGACGTGAAACTATTCATGTTAAACCGAACAAGATTATCCTACCTGTCCGGCAGTTGTGGAACTTTAAGGCATTTTCCAGGCGAAAGGATTTCTCACATGTGTTGCATTTATATTTGTATTCTTGGTCAGGCTGTTGGATGCACATAGAAAGAAGACAAACACATTAACCAGCAGAGGAAACAGAAGCCCTTGGGGCAGCAGTCTAAAATGTTACCCACCATGTTCTTGCTGTGCTTGTAAGAGATGTGCTGCTTCAGACTCTCCTTACGGCTGAACAACTTGTCACATTCATCGCACTTGAACAGTTTATCACCTGGAAAGTATAAAGGATACTTTAATGATCTGCATCCATTCATTCTGAATTGAATTTTTATTTGAAGTTGGGGTTTTAGATGATAAAGTCACCAGTGTTTTGAAAGCAAACACCAGCTTTTCACATCTCCATGTACCATGAGATCGGATGTGTCTGTTGAGGTTGCTGCTGTTCTGGAAGACCTTGTTGCAGAGGGAGCAGCGGTAAACCCTCTTGTGCTCTCGGGCTTTGTGCCTCTTCACGATAGCCCCACTGTCTGGAGCGTTCTCTGTTGCTGCTGTCTCTAAGACCACTGGTCCTGGGGCCTCCGCCGGGGGCTTGACATCTGCACACATCAGGAATCCAATGTCAAAGAGAAAACTACAAAGAGGATTCACATCGAGTGGTAATTGTGGTCAAAGGTACACAGGACTTTTAAGCCCAATATTCATACAGTATCTATATTTGAGATAAAAAACTAACAATGCTGGCAGATCATCTCTTTTTCAAACAAAAATATTTTGGCAGAGAACCTCAAAGTTGTTTACTGAAGACACAGTACTGCTGGAAGATAACATCTTACAGTTACATTATGTTATAAAATAGAAAGTCACTTTCGGCTTTTCCTGTTTAGGATTCGCTGTGGCGACTCGTCACACTGACATTTGGCACGTGTTTTACGCCGGATGCCCTTCCTGATGCAACCCTTACTCGAGCGGGGGCCACAACAGCGAGAGCACTGCGCCTTAACCACTAGCCTACCAGGGATGGCACATTATGTTATAAAATGACAATACATAAAAAAAAAATTAAGTGAATGCAAGTTGAAAGTAGATTTTAAAGTTAAGTCCAATTTTATTTATATAGCCCAATAAATACAAATCACACATTTGCCTCAAGAGGATTTACAGTCTGTGACACCCTCAGACTCGATACCAATAAATCACCAGAATTGGTGCCCTGATCTCAGCTCTCAGTTCGTGAGCTAACGCTAGCTAGCAGCTGTCAGCAGATAACGCAAACGCTGCAGATGAATCAAACTTTTGTCCTGTCTGTGCTCAAACTGAACACTACTGTAGCTGTATGTGATAGCATTTTTTTAAGTTAACTTAAAGAAGTATGTAGTGCATATATGAATGAAGGATAAGAAGAGTGGTCCCACCAAAATGATGTATTTACCCAAAATTCAACACGGCATGATGACAACTTCACATTCTTTATAGAAAGAAAGTGTGGCAGTGATGGTGGCAACAAAACAAGGAGAAAAGTGACGGCTGTGTTTTTACATCTTCTGCGTGTGCCTGCACTGCACTGTGAAATGCAACCACTGCAGAATAACTAGCACCTCTGCTTTATGTGTGATGACTTGTTTTCTGATTGTATGATTCTCTTCTTCTTCTTTCGGCTGTTCCCGTTAGGGGTCACCACAGAGAATCATCTGTTTCCACCTAACTCTATCCTCGGCATCCTCGACTCTCACACCAGTTAACTTCATGTCCTCTTTTAGCACATCCATATATCTCTTCTTTGGCCTTCCTCTTGACCTCTTGCCTGGCAGCTCCATCTCCAACATCCTTCTACCAATATAACCACTATCCCTCCTCTGCACATGTCCAAACCATCTCAATCTGGCCTCTCTGACCTTGTCCCCAAAACAGAAGACCTGAGCTGTCCCTCTGATGTGCTCATTCCTAATCCTGTCCATCCTGGTCACTCCTAAAGAGAACCTCAACATCCTCATCTCTGCTACCTCCATCTCTGCCTCTTGTCTTTTCCTCACTGCTACAGTCTCTAACCCATACAGCATAGCTGGTCTCACTACTGTCTTGTACACCTTTCCTTGGATTCTTGCTGACACTCTTCTGTCACACAACAC